GAGTTCACAGAAATCAAGCAAGCAAAGAGCACAATCTTTGGATAAAAAGCAATAAGTTAGTAGTCAACAGAGAAAAACTTTTGCATTGAGGAATTTTGCTAAGCATCTTTTCAAACAAAGTTATGCAGTCTGCAAAATTAAGAAAAGATTAGGTTTGAAGATATTATGTTTGTACCCAATCAGTTGTTAGCTGTGGACAAAAACAGCCAGTCAATTATGGAAGATTCAATTTAGCCAAGCATCGGAGCTCGATTCCAGAGAAATCATGCAAGCTACAAGGCATAATATTTGAAGAACAAAAATAACTTTGGATTGAATATCACAAAAAATAGAATATTTGGTGTCATGGATTTTTCTACGCACCGTAGCTCGATGAAAACAAAAATATGCAAGCTACAAAACTACCAATTCAATTATGAGCTGAGGACAAACACATCCAGTCAATTAGAAGAGTTTCAATTTAACCCGAGCATCGGAACTTGATTTCACAGAAATCAAGCAAGCAAATACCAAATTCTTTAGATTAAAAAAGCAATAATTTAGTTGTCAACAGAGAAAAATTTTGAGCTGAGGAATTTTGCTAAGCGTCATTTCAAACACAGTTATGCAGTCTGCAAAATTGATAAAAAAGATATTAAGTTTGTACCCAATCAATTGTTAGCTGTGGACAAAAACAGCCGGGCAATTATGGGAGATTCAATTAAGCCAAGCATCGGAGCTCAATTTCAGAGAAATCATGCAAGCTACGATTCAAACTATTTGAAGGAAACAGCTTTAAATTAAATGTCACAACATAGAACTATTGGATTGATGGATTTTCTAAGTTTCATAGCTGGATTAAAACTAAAACATGCAACCTACAAAACTTGAATGCAGTTAAGACTAAAGTTGGCACCCACTCACTTGTTAGCTATGGACAAAAACAGCCAGTCTATTATGGGAGATTCAATTTAGCCAAGCATTGGAGCTCGATTTCAGACAAATCACGCAAGCTACGAGGCATATTATTTGAATAAAAACAGCTTAATTAGATCTCACAACATAGAATTATTGGATTGATGGATTTTCTAACTTTCATAGCTGGATTGAAACAAAAATATGCAACCTACAAAACTTGAATGAAGTTAAGACTTAGGTTTTCACCCACTCAGTTGTTGGCTTGTTAGCTGTGGACAAAAATAGCCAGTCACTTATGGGAGTTTCAATTTATTGAGCATCCGAGCTCGATTTCAGAGAAATCATCCAAGCTACAAGGCAAATCATTAGGACAAAAACTGCTGTAAACTATGTGTCAGCAGAGACAAAAAGGAGTTTATCGATTTATGGCTTTTTCTTGGCATCGTAGCTGGATTCGAATAAACTTATGCAATCGCAAAAAAATGAACTTAAGCTTTTAGCCATTGAAATGTTAGCTGTGGACAAACATCCGGTCATTTATGGGAATTCTAATTAGCCAAGCATCGGAGCTGAGCTACAAGAAATCTTGCAAACTGAAAGGCAATTTATTGGAACAAAAAAGCTTTAAATTAGACATCGCAAAGAAAAAAAAGGAGATTTGGATTGATGGATTCTTCCAAGCACCGTAGCTGGATAAAAATTATAAAAATATGCAAAATACAAAACTTGAATAAAGTTAAGAGTTAGGTTTGCACCCACTCAATTATTAGCTATGGACAAAAACAGCCAGTCAATTAGGAGAGTTTCAATTTAACCGAGCATCGGAGCTTGCTTTCATAGAAATCAAGCAACCAAGGAGCACATTCTTTAGATAAAAAAGAAAAAAATTAGTTAACAACAAAAGATTTTGGATTGAGGAACTTTGCTAAGCTTTGTTTCAAACAAAGTTAAGCAGTCTGCAAAATTAAGAAAGATATTAAAATTGCACCCACTCAATTGTTAGCTGTAGACAAAAAAGCCTGTCAATTATGGGAGCTTCAATTTAGCTAGCATCGGAGCTCGATTTCAGAGAAATCATGCAGGCTGCAAGGCAAATCATTTGGACAAAAACTGCAGTAAAATATGTTTCAGCAGAGAAAAATAGGAGTTTATAGTTGTATGGCTTTTTCTTAGCATCGCAGCTGGATTCTAATAAAATTATGCAATCGAAAAGACTTTAACCTTTTAAATTTTTAACCATTGAATTGTTAGCTGTGGACAAAAACATCCAGTCAATTATGGTAAATTCTTATTAGCCAAGCACCGGATCTGAGCTACAAGAAATCTCGCTAGTTGGAAGGTAAAAAATTGAAACAAAACAGCCTTAAATTAGATATCACAACGAAAAATAGGAGATTTGGTTTGATGGAATCTTCTAAGCACCGCAGCTGGAAAAAAAAAACAAAAATAAGCAAGCTACAAAACTTAGAATCAAGTTAAGAGTTAGGTTTGCACCCATTCAATTACAAGCTATGGACAAAAAAGCCAGTTAATTATGAGTTTCGATTGAGCCGAGCATCGGAGCTTGATTTCACAGAAATCAAGCAAGCAAAGAGCAAATTCTTTGTATAAAAAGCAATAAGTTAGTTGTCAACAGAAAAAACCTTTTGGGTTGAGGAATTTTGCTGACCATCTTTTCAAACAAAGTTATGCAGTCTGCAAAACTCTGAAAAGATATCAAGTTTGTACCCAATCAATTGTTAGCTGTGGACAAAAAACAACAGGTCAATTATGGGAGATTCATTATAGCCAAGCATCGGAGCTCGATTCAGAGAAATCATGCAGACTGCAAGTCAAAATATTTGAACAAAAATAGCTTTAAATTAGTTATCACAAAGAAAAATAGGAGATTTGGATTGATGGAATCTTCTAAGCACCGTAGCTGGAAAAAAAAGCTATACATGCTACAAAACTTAGAATCAAGTTAAGAGTTAGGTCTGCACCAATTCAATTATTAGCTCTGCACAAAACAGCCAGTAAATTCGGAGAGATTCAATTTAGCGGAGCAATCGGGGCTTGACTTCACAAATCAATCAAGCAAAGAGGACAATCTTTGGATAAAAAAAGCAATAAGTTAGTTGTCAACAGAGAAAAATTTGAGCTGAGGAATTTTGCTAAGCGTCATTTCAAACACAGTTATGCAGTCTGCAAAACTATGAAAAGATATTAAGTTTGTACCCAATCAATTGTTAGCTGTGGACAAAAAACAGCCGGTCAATTATGGGAGATTCATTTTAGCCAAGCATCGGAGCTCAATTTCAGAGAAATCATGCAGGCTACAAGGCAAATCATTTGGACACAAACGGAAGTAAACTGTGTCAGCCGAGAAAAATAAGAGTTTATAGATGTATGGGTTTTTCTTAGCATTGCAGCTGGACTCGAATAAAATTATGCAATCGACAAGACTTAAAAAATGAATTTAAATTTTTAACTATTGAATTGTTAGCTGTGGACAAAAACATCCAGTCAATTATGGGAAATTCTAATTAGCAATGCACCGGATCTGAGCTATAAGGAATCTTGCTAGTTGGAAGGTAAAAAATTTGAACAAAATAGCTTTAAATTAGATATCACAACAAAAAATAGGAGATTTGGATTGATGGAATCTTCTAAGCACCGTAGCTGGAAAAAAAAAGCTATACATGCTACAAAACTTAGAATCAGTTAAGAGTTAGGTCTGCACCAATTCAATTATTAGCTCTGCACAAAACAGCCAGTAAATTCGGAGAGATTCAATTTAGCGGAGCAATCGGGGCTTGACTTCACAGAAATCAATCAAGCAAAGAGGACAATCTTTGGATAAAAAAAGCAATAAGTTAGTTGTCAACAGAGAAAAATTTGAGCTGAGGAATTTTGCTAAGCGTCATTTCGAACACAGTTATGCAGTATGCAAAACTATGAAAAGATATTAAGTTTGTACCCAATCAATTGTTAGCTGTGGACAAAAAACAGCCGGTGAATTATGGGAGATTCATTTTTGTCAAGCATCGGAGCTCGATTTCAGATAAATCATGCAGGCTACAAGGCAAATCATTTGGACACAAACGGAAGTAAACTTTGTCAGCCTAGAAAAATAGGAGTTTATAGATGTATGGGTTTTTCTTAGCATTGCAGCTGGACTCGAATAAAATTATGCAATCGACAAGACTTAAAAATGAATTTAAATTTTTAACTATTGAATTGTTAGCTGTGGACAAAAACATCCAGTCAATTATGGGAAATTCTAATTAGCAATGCACCGGATCTGAGCTATAAGGAATCTTGCTAGTTGGAAGGTAAAAAATTTGAACAAAATAGCTTTAAATTAGATATCACAACAAAAAATATGAGATTTGGATTGATGGAATCTTCTAAGCACCGTAGCTGGAAAAAAAAAGCTATTCAAGCTACAAAACTTAGAATCAAGTAAAGAGTTAGGTTTGCACCAATTCAACTATTAGCTCTGCACAAAACAGCCAGTAAATTCGGAGAGCTTCAATTTAGCGGAGCAATCGGAGCTTGACTTCACAGAAATCAATCAAGCAAAGAGGACAATCTTTGGATAAAAAAAGCAATAAGTTAGTTGTCAACAGAGAAAAATTTGAGCTGAGGAATTTTGCTAAGCGTCATTTCAAACACAGTTATGCAGTTAGTTGTCCGCAGAGAAATGAGTGTATGGATTGAGGAAATTTGCTTAGTGTCTTTTCAAACAAAGTTATGCAGTCTGCAAAAAGCTGATTTCAGCAAATTTAAGCAATCCACAAAGCTTAAAAAAATGAAGTTAGTTTTTAACTATTGAATCAACATTTTAGGAGAAATTTATTCGAAAAAACAATTACTTCACGAAACGTATTCCACTTATGCGCTACCTAGATGAGGTAGTTTCATTTGAATTTTCAAGAAATTGAGCATATCTTGAAATTTACCATTCCTATAAAACTCAGCATTTTTTCCGAAACAAATTTTTTTTCGGAAAAAAGTCTGGTACCAGATTGCAATTCCCCTGCTTATCGCAAAGTAAAGATACTATACTGCAGAGAAAAAAACTATACTATCTGACTTGCCTCTCACTTTTCTAACAAAAATCATATATTAGCTGATTTCTCTGATAACAAAATACAGACATTACTCAAATCATACCAGATCAATGTTCTTCCGATAAATCTGAACTACAGCAAGAAAGTTAAAAGGCCATTTTTGATTTTCTAATTTCAACATCGCCTATTCGCCACGAAGAAATCGGATCAATATCTTCCATATCTCGAGTCAAAGCTACGAACCACATGTATTGATACACTTCTCCTTCTTCAGCACCTCCGATCAAAGTTGTTTCTTCAGGTAGTGTAATAACTTTACCAAAACTGTCTTTAATTGTACAAATAGCTTGTACGTTGAATCTCGAAACTAACACTGGCATTGACTGTTCCATAACTGCCGTTTCTATATCTGGTTCTCCAACGTCCATAATGTAAGACTCGAATTTGTAACCCTGTTTCAAAAGCGGATCTAACTGAGCTCGAAGTTTATTATACGCAGGCGCAGTGCACCAGTCTTCTAGAAGGTCAAACTGGCTCCTAAAGAGCGCCTCGACAACATGAGGAAAAATGATTTTATGACAGACGTCATTAAACCTCGTTATCGTAAAGTTAGGATCCACTTTTCTAATTTCACTCATAACTTCACTTGTAGCGTTAGCAGCAAAAACACCCCCAAAAAAACGAGAAACTTTGTCGGATACAAAACGGGTTCCAGCGACTACCGGATTTTCCGATTCCTGATACTGATTCTTAAGATCGAACATTTTATTGAACACAGGGTTTGTGTCTTTGAAATTTTCCCACGTAGCATACCATTTCGCATCTCTGTGAAGCTCCATTCTTAGTTCACTTTCATTTAAATCATGTGTTTCAGGGTCAAACTCTTCGGCTGCTTTTGTTGAAAACATTCTGAAATCTGACCTTCTCTTTAATACCTTTGGACTGCTGTATACTCTAGCTCTCGCTAATTCTTCGTCAATATTTTGCTTCACAATTTCAGAAGCGTTCGAAATTGTCTGGAAAGCTTCACTTTCTGTGATGACTTTGCCGCTTTTCGAAATAGTTTCTCCTGCTGTTTTGACACCTTTTCCCACATTTTCAAACACATCTGAAGTCTGTTTACCTATTTCAGATTTTTTGAATTCGTCGATTCCTTCTTTAAGTTTCCCAGAAACATCTGATAGTTTTTCTTTGAAAATTTTACCCTTTTCGCTTGTTTCGTCTTCGAAAACCTGATACTTTTTTCTCGCGTTTTTCAAAGCATCTGATTCGTCTAATTTATTCGTCTCTTCACGGAACTTTTTAATTGAATCTTTCACTTCTTTATTCTGTTCAAACTCTTGTCTGACCGACTCGTAAAGTTTTCCGAAAAATCCGGCTCGTTTTGGCGCTTCAAGTGTCGAACCGGCGTGAAAGCAATTCTTCTGCACTAATGAAGGTCGAAAAACTGCCGTTAGATGGTAATTACTATTAACATAGAAGTTAGTAGTGATACTATTACTGGGCCCATTAGTTATAACTCCTGGTTGGTTAGACTGGCTCGTTGAAAACTTCTTGACGTGAACTTTGGTCAAATTAGGAGCGAAAAGAGAATTTGATTTGGACACTAGAGCTAAACCATAAGACTTGGAATACATTGAAGCCATACAACCTGAAACAATGCGATGACCTTAAACTGGGATCTCTTTAACTATATTGCCCCTTTTGCAAAAGGGGTGATTCGTTACTAAGTGTAAGATTCTCATATGCTTAACTGTTGATTTATTTCTTTATAGGGGGATATTTGTTACTAGGTACCCGAGGCGGGAAAGGATATCAATAAAGAGTTTCCCTTTAAGATTTTATTTTCTAATATGATTCGTACATTCAAGAAAACCTCGCATTAATCAAGGCAAAACAATGTTCATTTGAAAACAAACAAATTTACTGATATTTTCCATTTTTTTGTAAATAACTCCCCTGCCATTGCAAATACTGAATAATTTGTTTTGAGCAAAAATTGAATCAACTGAACAAGACAGAAAAAAAAAACATTTTTAAAGCAAGAATTTTGCTAACGGTTAAGTTCTTTGCACCACGGGGACAGCGTAAAAACATATGTGAGCTCTCAAAAATCAATTTCTGGTGTCCGAAAAAGTCAGAATACAGAATAGTTACAAATCAACTCATATATTTGAACTGAATGTTCTTAACTTTATGTCTGAAACTTTGCATCACTTCTTTCTTCTCAAATTTTTTCTTCTTCAAAACTGGCTTTTCATTATCGTCACTTTCTTTAACCGCCTTTTCTTCATGATTTCGGGTCGATTCTTTTTCGGCTCTTTCTTTCACCAATTTGGAGATTTTCTTTTTTGTAATTTTTTCATTTTTACTCGCTAACGATTCCTTACTGGGTCTCTTTTTAAGGATTTCCGACGGTGAATCGTCACTGATCTCCCTTGCAACTTTTTCTACCTTCCTTTTTACCGGTTCTCGTTTTTCTGCTGGCTTTTTCGACACTGGATTTTTGGACTTCGACACTGCTACGGTTTTCAAATCATTTCGTTTTCTTTTCAACGTTTTTGTCTTCACTTCTTCGTCCTTATTTTCGTCTGAACTGTTCCCTACAGCTTCTGAAACCTCGAAGTTCTGAACTTCATTTCCGACATTCCATAAATCATCTTGAGCTTTTTCGACCTTTCCTGTCCCTTCTGTTTCTTTTTCACTTTTATTGTCAACTCCTTTAAGAGCATCTAATGCTTTCTCAAATGTATCAATAACATTTTTCGGTTTGTAAACATCATCTTCGCTTTCAATTTCTGGATCTTCATCTTCATTTTCTTCAGTTTTTTCAAAGCTTTTTTCGCTTTTTTGCTCGTGTTTCTCAGATTTTTGTTTTTTCAACTTTCTGTGCTTTTGAATTTTCACTTGCAAGGTTTTCTTTGCTTTGTTTTCTTCTTTCAACTTCTGAATTCGCTTATTTCTACCTTTCGCTTCCTCAATTCTTTCGTCCAAACTTGCCAAATTAATCGGAATTTCATCCAACTCAATACCAAACTCAGATAACTTTTCATGCAAGTTCAAATACATTTCACGCTTTTTCATCAACCGCCTTTTCGATTGACCAACAGCTGCTACTAAATTTGTATTCTGAACTGAAGTCGGAGTTTTGAAGGTCTCAAACGTCTTTCTACCTCTTAGCCTTTTTACATGCTGGTCTTCAGGAGTTATATATCTGGCCTTTAGGATTTTCTTGTCAATTATGTAGTTATTAGACGCATCTGCTGCTATTTGAGCCACTTCTGTGTTTTCAAACTCAACGAAAGCGTAGCCTTTGAAACCACCGGTTCGTTTGCTTCGCTCTACTCGTACTTTTGTGACCTTTCCGAACTGCGAAAAGTATTCTTTGAGTGCTTCGTGGTAAAAACCGAATGGTAAGTTGCCAACGTAGAGTCGACCTCGTTTTGAAAGACTAGGGGGGTCTATGTTTGACTTTGAAGCCGTTTTGTTAACCATATTAACCTGAAGCGAAAATTTGAGAGAAGAATGAAAACTTACAGGAATCAAAAACTGAAAACAAAGCAACATACTTTTTGAATTCAAAATTAAGTTCATCAATTCCATCGAAATTGCATGTGCATGTAATTAATCTAGGTTAAAAACTTGGTTCGATGACAATCAAACCAATTCCAATTTACCCAATGCCATTCTACCCTATACTAATCTACCCTAAATTCGAACCCACCCTATGCCAAATTACCTTATGTTCTATAAATAGTTGAATTGGTGAGAGATAATTGAGCAAACTACCTCGGTTTAAGATAGCCGGTGAGCATAGACAAAAAATAGAGTAAAGACCAAATCATATTTACAATTATTATAAAGCGAGATAAGAAAAGTTTTTTTTTGGTTCGTTAATTCTGTTTGAATTCCTCTTTGAATCTTGAAGTATTTAGCTTGGGTTTGGAATTTACCACGGCAGTAGTTCTTTTGTGGTCGGTGAGCCATCTTTTTTCTTGTGCAGAGTACATCCAGCGGCGAATACAGCTTCCTCTCCGCTGCTCAGATTGGTCACATTAAAATGATATAGATACCATTCTGTCTCTCCTCCCTCTCCAAATTCGATCTCCACTACCACTCTCCGTATTCTGCCCACGTCTATCAACTGCAGTTTAAACTCATTCCATTGATTTCCTTTTTTATGCATCTTGCCCAGTTTCTGTCTGCCCGTGTTGCCATTCTGACCAAACAGTGTGAAGAATACATCGTTGTCTGTGGGACCACAATGCACTCTCACACTGTACGTGACTGTGGACTGTGCTATAAGCAAAATAACAAAACAATCAATTACTCATTCCATTTCATGCTCACATTCAACTGCAGCTCATCTAAGGTTCCATCTAATATAAGTCACTACTATTACTTCATGTATCTGTTATAAAAAATCAAGTTAAAGCAGAGCGTAAAAATACGTGCACCCTATAGCATTTAAAAAAAACCCTTGCGCTAAAATTAAGTTTTGGAAACATCTTATTGATTTATTTTTGTTACTTCAGATACTCGCCAACGTAAACAATCTTCCTAGATGGAACATAAATAAACACAAATAATCGTTGTATTGTTTAAAAAAAAAGATTCGTAAGGACTTTGCTTTTTTGTCCGAATTGCAAAGTCTGCAGAAAAAAGTTAAAACAGCCGTTGCCCAAAAACGTTTTATTACTGGCTTCTAATATCCTGTTCCCCGACTTAAACACTTACATAAAAGTACATTAAACGATCTCTCAAAAACAAAATTGAAAGTAGTGCTAGACTTTGAAAGAAAGGCTGCTACAGTAAATTGAAAAATCTTACCATTGCTTTCTGCTTGCAAGGCCTGAATTGCAGCTTCGATACTCTTATCGATATCTTCCCATGATGCAATCATCTTTTGCATGCTTGCAATTTTCGCGCAACTGTTTGCTTTCAAACCCTTCAGCTCGATTTTGATACTCTCTTCAAGTTTAGTAATTTGTTGCAGATCCTGCACTCGTTTGATATCAGGTTTCCTGCTCATCAGCGCATTTGATTTGTCCGTTATTGTCAACATTTCGGCATTTAGATCAACAGTTTGATCTGTGAGCTGTCTAATCGTGTTTTGACAGCCCTCAAAGAGTTGCAGAGCTTTCTCAGCTTTCTCAGCTATCTCAGTGGCTTGCTTTAGATCAATCTCTTCTTTCAGTACAACAAGATGATCTCCATGACTAGCTCTCCAGCAATCCTTGCAAATAGATATTTCACAACTCTCGTTTCGACAGAAATACTCTTTTGCTTTTTTATGAGTTCGGCACATCTCTTTACCGGCTTCACTGGTTTGAGATCGGGCAGACTAAAAAATGAGAACACTGTTTTTGATCAATAAAATTTTTCAATTATTCTGGGAATGCGAGGAATTTCACAATAGAGAAACCAACAAGTTTGATAAGTTTGATTGGTTGTTAAACTCCCAGGAAAATGATAATGAATGAACTTTTTTCACAAAATATATAAAAAGTTTCATCTCAAATATTCAACAAACCACGCACGAGACACATAGATGGAGCCAAACTCATCATACTTAATTATCAGTATATATCAAATAGTTATAGAGGGAAATTTCACAACGTACAGCCTTTCAACAAGCTAGTAGTGTCTATTATACTCTCTTCCATTCGCTGAATTGAAATAACTTAGCATATAGGTGAAGCCGAGCTTGGCATTTCTTACGATACCATACAAACATAACATTGCAAACTAGCAGATAACGAATGAAGCGAAAGACATATGTCGAAAAAGGAAAAATTTCGATAAAACCACAACAAACACTTCTAAGTTGTCTGCAATGAAAACAGAATTGAGCCAAAAACAAAAACTGTTGTCAAGGGCGAACAAGTTTAATTGAACAAGAAAACCGAAAAGCTAAGCCGAACAATTGAGTCCAAATAAACTTTTCAGCTTAAAAAATTACGAAAATTCAGGTTCAGTAAATTTACTATTCACAGGAACAAATCAAAAAAAACTTTCAATGAAAATTGCTTGGAGTATAAAAAAAGTTAAGATGTGGCACCAAAGCCCCCCAAAACATGGGCAGACAAATAAGCCAACAACATTTTCACTCAATTCACACAGTTTTTCCACCTTTTAAAAAAACCTAGGACCTTTGCCGTCCCAGGCTTAGTTTTTATCTTAAGAAAAGCTAACAAATTTAAACTCATTGTAAGCCAAACTATCAAATAATTCAAGTGATTTTGTTAAACAAGTTATTAACACGAAAAAAAGTCTAACTCCGATTTGACAACACTTGCTAACCACAAGCGTAATAATCCTGTAGAAAACGAGCGGCGTAGATTGGTCACTCTATTTTTTTCTTTTTAACACAGTTACTTTCTAGAAATTGCATGTTTTTATTTATTCGTTTGCACGTGACAGCTATTTCACTTTTGATAAATTTCAATTTATTTATTGTTCTCTAGTTTTTGAATTTCTTTCTCCTGATTTTCCTGATTCCATATAAGAAGTTGAAGTCGTCCAAGATGATTGTCAATTGTCAAATTACTATATAACACTCGGCCTCATTTTGAAGTTCCAAAACCTTTCAAAGAAAAAAGAGGTGGGGTGGTTCCTACTCATATAACTTAGGACACTAGCGCTGTGTCGTATAAGTGTCGGCGGAAGTTATCGGCTTTGGCTGTTGTCCGCTGGGGCTCTTATTGTCGTGAAGAGTCATTGCAATATTCCGGATTAACAGGTGCTAAACTAAAGGCTGGTACTGGCAGAGTTCGTCTCCTGTTTTAACGGGGTAAACGCGTGTCTGGTCGTCATTGGTTGATTTGTATCCTGTGATCCGTCCAATTGCCCAGAGTCCTCGTGGCGTCATATCCTAAAGAAACTAAACAATTTCTCACATTTTGATAGGCGGCGTCTTCTTTGTCCATCGTTGTCGCGGTAAGGGTGTTGAGATAAATTCCTTGATCAGGCGTTTCCAAATAAGAGTTGCGAGCTGTTGGACGAATTTTTATTGATGACGGAGTGTCGAAAGCTGTTGGAGTGGTAGAGGTGGCATGCTGACATTCACTCTCCCGAGCAGAAAGGGATTTGGTGTGAGGGCTTCACTATCATCAAGCGATGATGAAACTGTAGTGATGGGTCTTGCATTCATGAAATATTCAACTTCGCAAAGAACGTTGAATGTGTCGTCTGTTAGTGTGGCTTCGAAGAATGGCATAGAACGTGTCTTTTACTGATCTGATGATTCGTTCCCAAACACCTCAAAAATGAGGAGCATAGGCGGGGTTGGATTGTCGTGCAAAGTCGGAGTCGAGTATCTGTTGAGTTCTTTTTCGGCTACGATGGAATTTGTACCATTAACAGGAACAATTTTTCGCCGGTGTTCCTCTACGTCCAAAGAATCGTCTTAAGATGTACATCTCGAGAAGCACGGCTTAATTATATGTTCATGTGGCATTCGAAGCAAATGGTCCAAGAGATCTAGTCGTTTGTTGAAACGAGAAAAATTTGTTGTCGTTTACAGCTCTCAGTGCCCACTGAAGAGCTGTTGTACTGTCGGTCCACAACCTTTTTTCTTTTTAAATGATTTGTGAGAAGCGAGCACTAAAAACTGCGTCTTGTGGTTCCAGTTTATTATTGTGCTTTAGCAATTGGTCGGTTAAAATGATGACTGTCGGTTGTGGTGAATTCAGTGCGGTTTTCTTCTTGTTGTGTTCTAGTTTTTGAGTTTCTTTCCAAGAGTGTTCCTGATTCCATATGAAAAGTTGAAGTCGCCCAAGATTATTGTCAATTAGCAGATTGGCATTTAATAAAACCAAATTACTATAATAATTTTCTATGATAATTTAATTATGATAATTTAATTCAAAGAAAACACGTCTAAATGAGCGTTATATTCCCCCTAAAAAACTCATTTAACTTCCTGTATATCCTTTTTGCTTGACATTTAACTCAGAGGTAGTAGAAAAACTCTTTCGAATAATTCCAATTTGATTTTATCTCTTTTCGAAAAAAAAAAGTTTCAAGACTTACTAATTGGCAAACGTGAGCTTACTAATTGGCAAACACTTTCTGTTAAACCTAAAATGATTGATTTATAGATTAAAAAATTCTTCACCGCAATTGCAGACTTCAGCGTAAAATTCTCCACACAATGTTTCTCATTTCGAATTCTGTCCTCAATGGGAGTCCTGCACTCGGGGCATTGTCTAGATTTAGACTGTATAATCCCCTGGAGACAGTTTTTTGGAGAAGAGCAGTACGAGTGTCCACATGAAGACAAAATGCGAGGGTTCACCAATGTTTCTAGACAAATAGGACAATCAAATTGATCACCACCTGTGGCCATAGTTATTCAAACTGTGTGGTAACAAACAATTAATGCAAAATTATAAACCAAATAATTTTGTTTCAGTTTTTTAGCAACGAGAGAATAAATATTTGAACATAAAGTCAGCAGATATATTGTTCAAAACGCAAACCATGAACCTTTTTTAGACAATAATTTGTAGTATTACCGTCTCTGATTTGCAAAATGAAGAATTCATTTTTAAACCATTCTCAATGTTTAGTTAAATAAAGTATAATACTAACGTTAACAACTACCCATTTTTTGGTAAGTTTAATAAACATATTCAAATCTCGTACAAATATCAACCAGCTAAATCATGCTATTCAATAGTAAAAACAAACTCAGAAAGTTCTTGAATAAACGTTTTTTTATCATATCAATACGGACTATCAGATTCAAAACCACGCTTCAGAGGTCTTTGTTGTTTGGTCAATTATGACTGCATGTTAAAACCCGTGAAAAAACCAATCATTCACTGGCCTCAGTTGTGAGCGGTTGAAATGAGTTGCAATGCAAGCAAACTCGGGAGTGCACTAAAACTCGTCTTTGGTAAGAAAAAGGACTGGTATAAGAGCAATATAGCTTGTGCAAAGCTAAGGAGTTATTAAAAAAACATCACTGCGGAGCTTCTTTTCGTTACACTATTAACAATGCGACCTAGAATTGGTCTCCTTTCCAAAACACCAAGATGCTCTTAAACTCAAACAAAACATTAAAAAGTATCAAATTTTGCAAGAAAATCTGCAGCATATCCAACTTGAGCAAAAAAACTCAACAAATATATTATGATTCATTTCGGCGCAAGCTTCTGTATGCCTTTTCGGAGTGGAGTTTGAAAAATACACTTCTGACACTAAATTTTAACATCTCAGCTTCTGAACAACAAATTTTGCAAACTGTTCCTTCGACTGAACTCTCAATTTCAGATTGGGCAGGGTAGTTTTTGATTAAAAAAAAAACAAATTTTAAAAAAACGGTCCCAAAAGTAAATATTTTTTCCCAGAAGCTATAGCTTTTTTCTACACAAATAGGGCGTACCAGTTTATGCAGCGAAGAATCCCGAAATCTGTAGATTCAAATGAACCACTAACCTTGAAATTGGCAGCTTACTTTTTAAGAACAGTCAAAAAGTTTCCAAAAAACAGTCAAAAGTTGTAAATTGTGACTTTTCCAAAGGCCACATTTTGTTTCTACTAAAATTAGGGCGTGGCCGCTTATGCCGGGAAAATTCTCACAACCCGTTTTATTCGATTGACTCTTTTAACCCATATTTGGGATGGCAGTTTTTGAGAAAAATGGGAATATTTCAAAAAATGAGCAAATTGTCAACAATTGGCCTTTCATGAGGCCACAACTTTCTTCTTTAAAAATTAACTAAAATAAAAAACTTTGTGAAAAATAAAACTAATCAAAATCAGATTTGATTAAAGGACGAATTGTTAATCTGGTAAGAAGATCTGGTAAAATTATTTGGTAAAATGACTAACTTAAAAACAAAATAACATTCATGCTAACAAAATAACATTCATGACAAAATAAGACGATAAAAACTACCAGATAAAATGAATACTATTTAACAAAAAACGGAAAATGAACCGACTGAAACTAGGCCGAAAACCACAACTGATCCGAAAAAAGTATTTGAAAAAAAAACAACTACCGTTGGAAACAATAGCAACTAATTACTACCTAAATCCAGGTGGTTTTTTTTGAAATTTCAAGAAAAAAAATGTCTTGAAATTTGCCATTTTGCAAACAAAATATTAAATGGGAAGAAGTCAAAATATTTTCGCAAGAGTAAGAAATACTGAACTATTTATATAAGATAAGAGAGAAAACAAATAATCAAACTTGTCTAATCATCTTAACCGTGGGCTAATCTCATGATGGAAAGGCCGAATGATAGAAAAATTGCAACCAATCAGAATCGTTACACATTCCTATTCGCTCATGAGTTTTCACACAAAATCGAAATCAATATTAGCAGAAAAAGAAAATTAAGCAGTACAACCAAATTTCGCAGTAATTCGAGAAGATAATGAAAATTTTTTTTTTCAAATCGATCTTGATTTATCATTGACGATGCATGAAAAATCTTTTTCGAATTTGTAAGTGAAAACAAACAGCGCAGTCAGCAAACGTTTGTGATAAACATATCAAATTGTTTAAGACTGGAAATGGAAAATGATCAATCTCATTTCAAAATGATGCCGAAGCTCATCATCCACCTACTCTTAAGGTTTCAAGACCAGACGCCTAATGCGATATCAAACACGGGATCGTGCATGGTACTCAGTCCTGCAGACGAAAAACCCATCATTAACAAGTCGGAGGAAACCAACAAAAAGGCCATTGAGAACAAAATCCCGGATTTTTGAGTGCTGAAGAAAGATCTCAAAGTAACAATTGGACTAGTGGTGAATGAACTTTTGACTGCTACAAAACAAATTCTTGGGCAGGATCGAAATGAAATAGCTCAAAGGGAAATTGGTGCGAAAGTCATGTGCGTGGATGAACTGGTAGAAAATTATAACAGGAGAGATAATTTAAAGATATTGGGATATCCAGAACAAGTAAGACGAGATGCAAGTGGAAACAACTTACTCGAAAACTGTGATCAGACGATCAGCGATGTCACACAACTATCTATGGTGCACAAGTTACCCCTCCGGATATTTCTTTTGCTATCGATTGTCGAATCGTGTATCTAACAGGAGTCGACCAATCATTGTAATAATCTCAATAATGGAAGCGAAAAGTGATATTTTGCGCAAAGGCGTCAAAAATTGAGAGCAAAGCGCTCAAAATCATGTGTATCAAAATCTCAAAAGTGGGTTAAATGTGGCTTAATTTTATGCAATTGATGAGACTAGATTCACGAAGCCAGGCAGTTTGGACCAGAGAACGAAATTTATTATAGCAGTGGAAAAACAATGAAAAATTTAGCAGAACGAGTAGTCTCTTAGAAGAAGCGTTGCAGCTGAATTACTTAATAGAGAGTGTAAGTATTTGTTTTCCGAACAACAATGGTGTTTTTGAGCAGCACTCCGGTTGCTGTGGAACCTAATATTGCTCGCAATTAAGTTTCTAATGCTTTATTTGATTTTCAAGTCTCATTATAGAATATGCCGCCAGTAAAAAAAACACGGCAAAAAATTCGAAGCACTATTCAAATGCCTCCAGTCTCCAAAAATTTTACATACACCAAAAACTTGGCTAACTGAAGAAGCCAACAAAGAAAATTAAATATTTCAGTTTTGAAAAATCCAGAAATTCGAGATCTGAAAATTATTAAAGATGAAAAAAAGTCACTACATTCCAAAATGTTCTGTAAAATGCAATAGAACTATCCCATCTTGTTCTTAACGAAAATATTGACTCATCAAATGAATTGTTCCAAAAGTTGTTCAAAAGTGTTAGAACTGTTCGCACCTGAACATGCAAGCTCATAAAGGGAAATGCTTCTTTAGGATGGTTTAGCAAAGTAGTTAGAAGCAACTAAAACAAGGAGCTAATTCAACAGAGCATGGAAAGTGACAAAACGAACAAAACTACATAACTGAGAGGAGAAAAGAAAAAAAATAGTCAAAAAGCAAAAAAAAATGATTAGCAAGATAGATTTAATAAGTGTATTGAAGACTCGAGACAAGTTTTGAAAATAATAAATGAAATACCTAGAAAATGCTTTAAAAGTTGCAATGTACCTCTTGTGAAATTGACACAAACCGAAATACTCAATAACTTGGATGTGGCAAATCGCCTACAGGATAATTTCCCTAACATAGTAAACGGCTCCTTGAGTCGTTACCAAATGCTAATCGGGATATAAAAGTTGCGTTTTTGATAACAAACCACAATCAATTTTCCTGCTCAATGCCACAATGTTCGAAACTTTAGAAGTGATTGACAACCTAAACCTAAAATAATTGATAAATAAGTCAATCAAAAAAGGGACGTTTCAAAATTTCTTAAAAGTTCTGTCGTATTACGAAGAGGGAAGTGAAACAGATTAAAATAACAAAAGGCCGATTTCTTGGCTAAATTTCTGTCAAAGGCATTCGCGTCTACACAACTACTTGAACCGATTAAAAAATATTTTGAAAAAAAAACTTGGGTTCAGTCAAAACGATGGAAGCTTTAGTCGAATTACCAGAACAACTCCGATTTGGAAAAAAGAGCGAAAAGAAGTGTAACATGTTCTTGGATCTCAAAAAGCAATTGGTACTTCAGATCAAAACCTGATTTTCCTTATAACAGAAAACTATGGAAAAAAGGGTTACACAAAGACTGGTTTTGAAGCTATTTATGTAATTGGCGTTAGCCTGCTTTAACAAAATTCGCGTATTCAGATTGATTGAATGTATCTCTTTCAGTCTCCCAGGGTCTGTAACCGGTGTTTCCAGTCTTAAGCTGAGTCTTAATGTACATATTGTAACACTTAAACTATTTTGCAAATGTCTCGGTGTTTTTGAGGATTCCAAACTGTCTTTTGGTACGCATATTGAAAAATTAAAGCTAGTTTATGAACTTGCGTAAATGCGGAAACTTGTACCCATTTAAGTGCTTATTAAATACTGCGACTACTAATGCGTTTATTGTCTGTTTTCCCACAGGGACCGACTTGGATATTTCATTTAGTGCATAAGCAATTAATTAGATGAAGGCATTCTGAGTGGCATTCAAGCTATTTAATGGAGGATAACACGTTTTTCCATACCATTTGATCAAGGCAGTCTGAAGATTCGTCTTGTTTAACACAATCGATCCTACGCAATGCTTTCATATCATCACTCTTAGGAGAGCTGGATATTGCCTTGGTCTGCGCCTATATTTCAGAGCAGTACATTAGAAATAGCCGGAGACAAGCTCCGTAGATATGACACATTGTAATCAAATTAGTATCTTTTTTCAGCAGCAGTGGCGCAATTAATTAATTTTTTAAATATCAAATTCACCATAAAATATAGTCTACTGGTATATGGAGGAAAACAGGTTTCAGGAACTTCAACCCTATTTTCCTTTGGCAGTAAATTTTCCATCCGGATGATATTTTACGAGAGACTATAAAATAATAGTAAGGCTCATTCAAAAAAAAATTAACGATTCATCAGCTTTATGGAACGATCTACTGAATTTTAGTTTCGGAACCATATATAACCTAAATTTTACTGCCCATCTGAACAGTTTTTTTCAAATTTGAAGATTTCAGTTCATAAAAACTTGAACTAGAACAACTTAGTTTTTGATCCCTGGCTGCCAAAAAATAAAATATCAATCAATATGGCTCAAAGGATGCAAACTGTTGAATCATTAAGCGACAACAAATTTTAGCAAGTTTCAAAAGAGGAAATGAGTAATTTTGATCATAGAGTAATGGATAAACTTGCAATCTGATATACATTTCACAATATTTTGGTGTGGGGTGGGGTTGCTCGCTTTGTAATTATTCAGAAAATCAGACATTGTTTTCGGAAATCATAATTTTTTTACTTTTCAAGACTGAGAATGGGAATACAGCTTTGGGTGACTTCAAGTTGCAAACACAGTCAGATTTCAAAAAGTTGGAAAAACTGTCCAATAAAGAAACGCAATGCTCTCTAACAACCCCGCAAAATTACATGCCCAATTTTTTTAGTGGATGCATTATCAGTAAAAAAAGTAAATTTTTTGTTATTAAATTTTATTTAGTTTTTTTTGTCATAAATTTCAAAACAAATAATAGCATATTTATTTAATTTATTTATCACCAGGGCAAGCTACAAATGTGTTTCCATCAAACCCATAGAGTAATCACACTTAACTTTTTGTTTTGTAAAGCATTATCATACGACTTATCAGTTGAAAATTTGAACAAAATTTTTGTACTTCCTGATTTTTTTTCTATCATGTTGATTGAAGAAAATTCTTCTTCTTCTTTTAAATCGCAAAAGATACCCAATTCTAATTTGAGGACTGCCAGGCTGTGGTTTACCGAAACACACGAAGCTGAGATTCGCACCAATTGCGATACAAGTTGTATTAGATTAAAACAGCATGACGCTCAAGAAGTAGCTAATGAGACAAATTGAAAAGAACTAGAAAACCGAAAAGTTTGTAAAACGAAAAAATGGAACTCTTATTATGATTAAATTATTTGAAATTCTTTAAGAGGACCTTTTGAGGTTGATATTAAGCATTCGTATATGAGGAGCCAGTCTTATCAATCTTCAAAACAAAACCGGAAACAAACTATAAGGTACAAATCCGACAAAATTACAACCGACAGCCAGATTACAACCGACAAAAGCTGAGAACCAACGAAAAATTTACTGCTTATACAGTCTCCGCAAAGTCTTCATATGTATTAAATCGTGAACTGAAGAACCAATTTGTGAACTAAACTAAACCGACAGATTTAAGTCGACAACCATGAAATAAAGCAGAAAACTTGGAACACAACACTAATATAGCACTAATAAATTTCGTGGCGATAACAACCCAACAATACTTATTGCACGAAAAACAGAGGTGAAGCTGCGCTTCGCAAACACTAGCGAAAACACGACAAAAAGCAGCTTTAATAAGTCAAACAAGAACATATATAATAAGTCTCGAATTAGTAAGGCATTGCTACGTATTCACTTCAAACCTGCGACCTCGAGATTTGGAGTCAAATGCCCTGCACTCACGGCCAAGAACGCTAAACAACCGGTAAACACTATTCATAAATAAAGCAGCTACATATGATAACAAATCGCCAATACAATGCAGAAAAGGCACCAAACACAAAAAGGCAATTTTGTAATAGTAAAACGGAGGGCTGAAGAGGGTTATTAGATTTTTGAAAAATTTCCAGTTAGAGATCAATCATTTACACAAATGCATCAAACTTTTGCAAGAACAACACCAAAAAGCAGCTCTATCATATTTAATAAGAAAAAGTAAAAATAAGCCTCGAAAGAGCAAAAACTCGTCTAAGTGTAGGATTCGAATCTGCGACCTACTGCAATCAAGAGCATTTGAGTCTCACGCAATATCATATCAGTCACTCAAGCTTAACAACCTAAAAACACTAGTCACGAAAAAAGCAGCTACATATGCTAACAAATTGCCAATGAGATTCAGCACTACATGCTAATAGACTCCATTTTGCAACTAATAATTATAAAAAACTGAAGGCATCCACACTAACTTTGCATGTAACAAATCGCAAAGCATAAAACCACACTATGTATAAATTATGCATTTCAAAAAAATTGCGAGATATAATGAGTTAGAAAATTTGAAACCGACTTTTTATTACTGTGATGTTGTTTGAAATAAACATTTTTTTTTCGGTTCAATTGATGACTCAAAAATGCATCAGAATTGTTAATTTATTAGTATCGAATGTCAAAGCACATGCTAGGAACAAAACTGTTAAGGTACCCAAGCATTATTGGGGTGCTGCACCATTAAAATGTCGCACCAATATTTGCGACTTAGATTGGAAAAAAAGAAGGTCCGTACTAACACATTCGAAGGTTCGTATTACACACACGCAAGTGCAAGAAACCATCATAACTTATAGATTTAAACATAAGGAAATAAGGACGTCGGAACTGAAGCCGAACGACCTGGGCCGAAAATCTAACAAAAATTTTCGAATCTGATTAAATAGTAAAATATAACTTTCAACCTAAACACGAAGCCAATACAGTAACAATACTATTAATAAAGAATGCTTATAAACCAATAAGTATAAAATATATTGATTAAGAATTGACTATTCTGTGAACAAACATATTTACCGGAAAAAGTCTAATACCCGATTGCAATACCCTTGCTTATCGATCGAGTAATAACAACGAAAGAAAAGGGATCTTTTTTTCGTATCTTCCGAAAGTCTTAAGAGGAACATCAGTGAAATTAAGGCTGAAAAAAAAACTCAACATGCCAAACTTTGATTACCTTAACATTAAGTTAAAACACCATTGAAAGTCTTTTCCAACTCTTGTTTCACGGAAGCTCAAAAGTATTCAGCATATCGTAAGGCTATAACAAAGCAACAAAAAGATTCCGTTCCATTAGTTCAGTCGTCAACTAGCCCTGGCCTGGGACAAATTGAATGTCCAAACAATATCATCAACCTTCATCTTCATCCACTTTTAGACAAGAACTGTCTAGTATTACGATAAGAAATCAAGATCGTTTCGTTTTCACTGTCCTTAATCACGGCCATTTATACATCTCTTTAATCTAAAACGAAAAACTAAGGAACATAGCCAATCGAAGATCGGAAGAGTAATGAACGCACGTAAGAATAAAAAAACATTGATTTTGTTGAAAAAATCTCAAAGAAAAAAATAGTTGCCCTTTAAGCTCACTGAATTTCTAGAACAATTTATGATTGGCGCTTTTTTGATCACAAGAACTCAACTAAAGAAAACTGGATCAAAAAGTGCTTATACACCTAAGTGCATCAATATTTTAAGTACTTTCCTGGAAATAAAACGAAAAAAAAATCCCTAACACCTATATAAGAGTCTTCACAACGTTCATTACTCTTAATCAGTTTTCAACAAAAAGTTTCATTTGTGGTACCACGCAGTTTTATCACAAACACAGACCACGGTCGAGTGATTTATTAAAGTGAAGTCTTTTCAAACTAATTCGCTATATATCTGAGCGTTTTTTTTTCTTTTCTTATGAAACGAGTCGTTCATCACAGCCGGCAATTCATTCAAGATGTTTTGAAAGATCTTCATCGCCAAATTTAGAAGAAAAACTTGTTCTTGAAACTTCAGTTAACGAAACCCAAATTCTTTTTTTTTCAAAACTTATTTTTTATTCTATTTGCAAAAATGGTGGCTTGATTTTTCAGAGCAAGTTTTACAGCAACTTACTATTTTTTTTTTAAAATTCCTTCTCGAAAGAAGAAAATTTATGTTCCAACAGTCCACAATTGTCTAAAAAGGATAAATATGATTCATTACAAACTCTATTGAAACACTTAAACATAATACAAAATTCCACAAAACGAAATAGAAAGAAATTTTAAACAACAAAAACCAAAACAAACACATCAAAATAAGATAGCATTTTCAAATGTAGTCACGCAAATTTCCATACAATAAAACTTCTAAGGCAAATCAGGACATTTATGGCGCAAAAGGATGTTAGTACTGAAGCTTCTGTGATTGCTATATTACTGACAATTGGACTCAGTATTTTGTTTCAAGACCAAACTCTCATTTGTGGCATTAGGCAACTGCAAAGCTCCGAATTCTTTCTTGACATTTTTCAAATCGTAAAGGTTAGACTTCGCATGCAATCTGTTTTCGACTGAAACTTCTCTGTGAACTTTCGGTGTTTTCATGCTACTGTGTTGAACAAACTTCAATAACTCTTCATTTAACTTTTTCATTTCCAATCTCAAACTATCGTTGTCATGTTTCAATCGAATATTATCCGATTTGAGTTTATTCAAATGTTTGATTTTCTGGTTTTTGTTCTGATGACCTATTAAATCAGCGTATCTGTCAACCAAAGCTGAATACTGTTGATCTGTTATTTGACTTCTTTGAAGCAATAACCTTTTCTCGTTATCGTACTGATTCAGAAGGTCTTTGAATGGACCAACTGATAACGATAGCTCCTCGTATTTTTTCTCGAGGTCTCGTTTTTCAGCGCAAACACCGTCATACATTTCCTGCCATTTTGAAAAATCCGAGCTTGGTTCGAAATTTTCAATGTCAGCTCGATCAAAGAATTGATTTAATTTCTCTTTTGCTTCGTTTAACTTTGCGGTTAGGTTCAAAATTTCTTGATCCTTATCTTGAATCAACATTGCTTGTTCGGACAAGTATTGTTCAAATTGACCTAGACAGTCTCTTGAAACGTCTAGTTCGCTTAAAACATCGCCCAATTCGAAATTGCGAAGATTATCTTCCACTGATTTCTGATTAACCTTCAATTCAAGTTTTGTGATTCCTCGAATAAGTTCAAAAATTTTCTTCAAAATATCTTCATTCGACTTTTTCTTGATTTCCAAATTAACAAGCGCGTCGTTTCTCTCTTGTTCTGAAGCAAGCAGTTTGTTCATATTTTCACTTGATTCAATTTTCAGTTGAGTTACTTCTGTTTTCAATTTCGAAATTTCATCTTCCAAGTTTGATTTTTCAGTTCGCATTGAGTAGATTTCATTTTCCAATCCGTCGATGATTGGTTTGAATTTCTTTTTCGAGTTTTCCTCCATTAGGCTTATTTTCTTCTCGGCTGCTGAAAGCTGTAAAGACTTTTGCTGGTTTTCCGAAAGCGCAGCATTAAGTTGAATATCACGACTCATCAACTTACCTTCTGAAGTCACTATTTGTTCACGTTGCTTTTCTAATTTCTCATTTTTAGCTTCCAGTTCAGAACTCAACAAATTTGCCTCACTAAGAAGCTTCTCATAAGAACTTTTGTAATCCTTATGGTCATACATTTCCTCGTAGTCTCGCAGCATTAACTGCAACTCGTGAATTTTCTCGAACAACAGTCGGTTTTCTTTCTGAACCGGTTCGAGTGAACTTTTCAGTTTTTCTTCCGCGTCAATCATTCGAGATTTCCAAATTTCTCCCTCGGCCAAAACTTTTCCATTCATTGATACTCGTCTATCAATTTGGTCTTTTTGCTCCTCTATAAGCATTCTAAGCTCTTTTACCTCGTTTTCTTTCAAGAAAAGCTCTTCCTTGCTTTCTTTCAAGCTTTCTTGTAAATTCTGGAAAAGCTGTTCTGAATCCTTTTCTCGCTCTTGAATTTCTTTCGATGTCTTTTCCAAATTGTTTATTTTGTTATTCAACTTCTCGATTTCCAAATGCGCTTCGTCGGTTTTCTGTGCCAGAGAATTATTGATCGTTTTTTCCATTTCAAATTCTTTGAAAACTTCCGATAATTTCGATTTCAACTGATTGACTTCATTATCCGCTAAATTCAAATCCTTCTGTTTCTCAGTAAGATCGCATTTAACAGATTCATGCGCTTCATTTAGACTTTCCAACTCATTTCTAAGCTGTGCGTTCTTTTCGAGTAACTCCTGCTTTTCAAAGCGAACTTCACTAACTAAAGCTAATGCATCTTTCAGCTCTAAAGTTACCTTCGAAAATTCATGTCGAGAAGAATCGAGTTCGAAAGTTAATTCTTGGAACTTCTTGTCGAAATTATTCACATCCGAAAGCAACTGACCTTCCCTAATTTTCAAATCCTCGATTGACTTTTCTGAAAATTGCTTTTCCTCATTCAGCCGCTCATTTTCACTCATTTTGATAAACAGATCTTTATCTCGAAGTTCTAACTCGGTTTTTAAACCCAATTTTTCTTGAACAATATATTCGTTTTCTGTTTTCAAAGCCTTTATTTCGCAAACTTGAGCCGAACATTTGGAAGTCAAAACATTCAACTGCTCTTTGAATTCTTTAATTACTGACTGGTAAGTAGATTCCTGCTTTTCCATTTTTCCTTTCGTTAATTTCAGCTCGTTTTCGCTGTTTTCCAATTTTGTTTTCATGTCGTTGAAAATTTTCCCAGCTTCTGCAATACTATCTACAGTAACCTCAGGAATATTAAACCTTTGAAGCTCTGTCATCAATGCTTGGATAGCCTCCTTATAATTTTGTAAGTTCTTATTGAGCTCGTCAAATTTTGTTTTCAGTTTGTCAAAACTTTCGGTATTTTCTGTTAACTTCACTTCAAAATCGGCTTTTTCGGCGGTCATGCGTTCTTGTAATTTTGAGACCTCTTCTAAATTTTCTGCTTTTCTTCTCTGCATTTCGCAATCCAGATTTGAAATTCGATCTTTGAGTGCCTCGATTTCTGTGTCTTTCCAGTTTAAATCGTTTTTGTACGACTCCAATACAAATTCAAGCTCTTCGTTCTTACTTTCAGCTGTCTTGAAGTACAATTCGACTTCTTTTATTTTCTCCTGCGCCGAGTTCAGTTTCTCTCCAATTGCAGTTTTCTCCTTTTTAAGATCGGCATATTTGGCTACTAAGGATTCAAGCTCATCTCTCAAAGAACTCATTTCTGCAAGAGCTTCAATTTTAGACTCATTAAGTTCTGAACTTTTAGTTAACGCTTCGGTTAAATTTGCTTGTAATTCTTCGTTGTCCTTGACGTGTTGGTAACAACTATCCATTAGATCCTTTATTTGTCCTTTCAAATCTTCGTTAGTTTTCAGATGTTCGCTAACTGAATTCTTTAACTCGTCAATTTCAGCTTTCAGCTCTGAATTTGTCTGTTTAGCAACTTCTGCTTCTTGATTCACATTCGACAAATGAGAAACAGTACTTTGAAAGTGATCTTTAAGTAGCATGATGCTCGATTTCATTTCTTCTCGACAAGAATCATCAATTGCTGGTTCTACTTCGTTATCATTCGCACTCCCTAATTCTTTTTCAAGAGAATCGAAGAACTCTTTGGTTTGTTTTAGTTCTCTCTCAAGTCGCAAATAAGTATCAGTTGGCACAGACGAACTTTGAATTGACACCAATTGAGACTTAATTTTCTCCAACTCAGATCTCAAATTACAGCAATTGTCACAAATAGCACTTTCCACGCTTTCATTGTCCAGAATCACCTCTCCATTTGATTTTGAACTTGATTCTTCATTAGAACTCTTCGCAACATGTGCAACTTCATCATTTGCTTCTTTTGAATCATTTGAACACTCATCAAAAAACGAATCCAGATTTCCGATACTTTTTGCGACACTACCTTGTTGATCAAAGGGTCCCATGGACATATTCACGTTGTAAGTCAGACGTCTATTTGCTGAGTTATTCATGTCACCACTCTCGAACTCCATTTTTTCACGCGGTATGAAGGAACTTTCGTTCACACTGGAAGCAATAGAAAAATTAAAGGTATCTTTATTTATTTCCGCTTCGCTTGTCACATTTGTTATTGATGCAAGCTGGGCCGCTGCTTCGTTCAAAATTTCATTTTGCTCCTGTATCTTTTGAAGCGATGCACTTATGTTTGCTGTAAAATGCTGAGAACTATTGCTGCTCATATGCATTGCCTGCATCAGTCGATCTTCGAGTGTTCTTCTTGCCATTACTTCTGTCTCTAGCTGCTTCTCATAAACGAAACAATCTTGGCAGTTGTTTCTCTTACTAGGCGAGGCCGGTTCTGAAATGAGGGGCTCAGAAAAAGGAGCGATGTGAGAAATCGAACTCATGTTTTTCAGTTCACACCTCGGAAATTTTGAATGTTGCGCGGGCGTACTGGTAGTGAGAGGGTGATTTGCGAAAGTTGCAGATGTTTGAGCCATGCTAACATTGCCACCACAGTGCCTGCAACAAACATTTCCCGCGAAAGAGTCTTGCAGCAAACCATTTTTCCATCGTCTAGCACGGAAAAAAGTTGCCGGACCTCTAGCAGCTAAACTTGGCCTCGGCACCGAGTAGTATCCAACACCTGGTCCATCGCTTCGAACTTCATTAAAACGTATAGTCTTTGCGCGAGGAAAATATGCCATTCTGCCTTACAAAATCTTTGACATCGAAATATCTTAAAATAATTTATAAATCAGAGAACAGTATCAAACAAAATGTTTGGCAATACACATCTTGGGAAGTTTTAGGACAGTTGAAGAGTTTTATGGTTACTCATCTCCTGGTCCATCGCTTCGAACTTCATTAAAACGTATAGTCTTTGCGCGAGGAAAATATGCCATTCTGCCTTACAAAATCTTTGACATCGAAATATCTTAAAATAATTTATAAATCAGAGAACAGTATCAAACAAAATGTTTGGCAATACACATCTTGGGAAGTTTTAGGACAGTTGAAGAGTTTTATGGTTACTCATCTCCGAAACAAACGACAAATGAAAAAGGACCAGTCTCGTCTGTCATGCGACGGTCCGTGAAATTTGAATAGGGCCGCAACAAAGCTATACTTGTGCATCTAATAATAGACAACAAATTTAGTGGTGTCGGACAAGGCCGACGGGAATTCATGCTGAAATTGAAAACGTACTTCAGACCGAAAAAAATATCAGAAAACAACTAAGGAAGAATCATTGGTCCAGCACACATAAACTTGTGATTTTATGCATCTTACTTTCAAACTTCTGGACAAAAGTAGGCGCACACTTAGGGTTTTACTTTAACACTTCATTACGAGTCTAAAAAAGCCAGTTTTATCATCTGCAGTAAATTGTCAAGAACTATGACATATTATGAAAATTTATATTAAAAAAATTAAATTACAGAGGCCTTTCCGTTTAGTTACGGTAAGTTCACCAGCTGGACAGGGCCATACCAGCGTTAGAAAAATGCATATATATGTATAAAAATGACCTGTTTCTCCAGGTCCGGTATCCTGAAGCTTCTTGCAACGGTTCCACCTGTCATGACTTGGTGCATTCCGTCGTCTCATCTAAGGTGGGGAATTCAGTCGGCAATGCTCCACTCTCCTTCTTTTTCTCGAATTCACTCAACTTCATAAAGTTTTCGCCCACCACGTCTTGCAGCTCGCCTTCTGATCTTTTCGGGACAGCTAGAATGATCTTCGTTAACAATTCATATGACCTTTCCGACATTGTGGCCAATCTCACGCATTTTGGTACCGATAAGAAATGATCAACCAACACCTGATGTATCCTCGCATCCAAGACTATCATGTGCGTTGGATATTTACTTTTACAGTATGCTGCAGAGCTTGAACCCACTAGATATTTCGAGCCAACAAGTTTATGATATGCCTTACTATCTTTCAGATTCATCCCAATTTCCAGAGCCTTTTGCCAACCTCCAATTTTCTGCTCCCTCTGTAACCCTCCAGTGCTAAAATTAAAAACCTGGGCAGGATCTAGGCGTTCCAATGATTCAATCGAGCTGGTCGTGCTGTAAAATCCCAAAGCGGTAATAAGGTTCACTTCCGTTACTCCAAGGCAGTTCGCAATTAATTCATCTCACTTTTGCCCGATATACTCAATCTTCCACTTAATTCGGCTAATTGTCGATGTTGCTCATTCAGCGTATTTAAGCAATGACCAGTCCCACACACGTGTCCTTCCATCCCACAGCTGGAAGCTAGGCAATTGTTCTTCTAATGGTGTCAATTTTTTGGTGTCAATTTAGAGAGTATCAATTTGGTTTACAAATAAATTTAGGTTATCTTCAATTTTTACGTATCATAGATTAAACATCCAATTATTTTGGGAGATTCTAAGTTTTTCAAGATTGTCCCGGGTTTTCCGATTTTCCTCTGAAAATAGCTAGTATAAGCGGAGCAAGACAACGGATCATTTCAGCTCCGTTTCTATATGCTTGTCATATAATCTTGTAACAGTCGTCCGCCTAAATCACAAATTAGGTTAAGAGATATAGGCCCTATAAACTTCGGTGTAAGGGTCAGGGACATTACCTCTTGTGTTTTTGTACCTCATTCTGTCGGAGCCAATTCGGTTCGCTGAAAATATGGGACATCGAGAAGGTGTTTTAACTTAAAAGCGACTACTATAATATCCCCTATTCCAGAAATAACCACGTTCCCATGGCTAGGTCTCTAATTACCTAACGCCGTGAAAACTAGAGCTGGGAACTCAAGTAAAGTTGATTAGTTTTTATCGGACAGAGGACCTTTGAGCCATTTCTGCTGGATCAGCCTAAAACTCGACTTACTTCGATATAACTCTGTGAAACACAGTCTAGCAACTAAATTCAATACAATAATATTGACAACCGCTCTAGAATTAATCAAATAAAATAACCACGGTAACCTTACAAGATTACGGAAATGATATGTTTTAGCGCAAGTAGTTTTATTGGTCTGAAAGATTGGGTCGCTTGATTAGTCGACCGTCCCTGTTAAGGTGCTCCTTGCTCCAGAAGTAATACTCACGTATCCACACTCGATATTTTCTAACGTTATGAAGAAAGCTCTACTCGAATTAAATGTTAAATGTTAAATAACGATGTCGACTGCCTGGATTCAAATTTAAAAAGATATCTTACCTCCAATTGGTTTTAGTAAACGTCGGAGGTTTGAAAATTGCCAAATTGGCTAAATTTTGTATTAACTTAAGCAGTTTTTGAAGATTTCATTCACAATTTTGAGAGCTTAACGCAAAATTTTTATCGTGCAACGAAATCATTGCAAATTGAATTGAGAACAGATAATTGGTCGTATTGATTTTGTACTACTTAAAGTTTCACACTTTGATATAGTCAAAAATTATAGACTTTAATTTATTACCCCTAACCTAATCGATATGGATTAAAGGACAGCAGGAACAGTTATCTTTAAAAAAATTATAATATCCAACACACCATATAAAACACAGAAAGATTGATTGTTCCGACATTCGAAGAAAACGGAGTTTTTATGCTTTTTTTTGTTTTTTTTTTACTCAGTCGTATTTCGCTGATTGAATGAAGAGTTTTCGACAATATATCTTTTATACCGCATTGACGATTTCGACTTCTTGAGTTCAAAATTTAAAAGATTTTTTTGTTATTTCCAAATATTTTATAATTTATAATGATTTCGTACGACTTGAACAATCACACTTTGATTTTGTCTAAAAGTCATAGGTTTTAAAAGTTTTGTTTTCTCAAAAACCATTCTATTTGAACTAAGGGACTGTAGGAGCATTCACGGCTGTGTCCTGATATAGGAACAGAAGTTTTTATCTCTAGGGGCCGGAGTGGAATATCAGATAAAATCCTTTTTTTGTATCAAGGGAGGGGCAAAGCTAAGACTTTTTTCAAAACTTTTTTCCTTTCACTAAGTATGAAATGAGGGACAGTAGGAACCTTCGGGAAGTTGTCTTGATATACGAGCAGTCTTGTTTATGTTTAGGACCGGGAGTGGAACATGAGATAAGATCCTTTTGTAACAAGGGCGGGGCAAAGCCAAGACCTGACGGTTCAGGAAATAACCACTTGTATGCGATACCTGATTTGATTCAGATTTTTGAAAATACATATTAGTGTCGAAATTGTACAGAAAAGTAGGGTTGCATGCCGCACACTCGTTTTTTAAGCATGAAAAATAGTGCTAAATTTGTAGCTCCATTCACCAAAAAAAAGTAATTCATAAATTTAGCTTTTGGCTGACTGTTCAATAATTCAAACAAGACTGCTCGTATCAAGGCGAAGCCGTGATTTTTCCGAGTGCGACTCAAGGTCTATGGAAAAGTGCTCGCCAAAAAAAAACTGACAAGTTTTCCTTAAAAAAAATTGAAATAAAACAAAAATTTCATAATACTCCCCACATTATATAAGAAACGAAGCGGTTGATTGTTTTAATTTTTGAAGAAAATAGAATATTTATGCTTGGTATGGTTTCTTATGCAGTCAGTTTTCGCTGATCGAAGTGAAAATTTTTTTACCACATTGGAGATATCGACTTCCTGAGCTCAAATTTAAAAATATATATATTTCACTTCCATTTATTTTTAAAATGTTCTGGGGTGTTGAAAATTGCAAAATTGGCTAAATTTTGGACAAAATTAAGCGCGCTTTGGAGATTTGTTCTCGTAAGGTTGAGAGATTGACGCGAAAAGTTCATGCATAGAGAATTATTTTGCACAACGAAATCGTTACAAATTGAATTGAGGCTAGCTAGTTGGTCTTATTGATTTCGTACACATCAAAGATTCACACTTTGATATTGAAAAATTATAGATTTTAAATTTTTGTTTCTCACAAATTAATCGATATGGATTAAGGGACAGTTCGAACATTCAGGGCTTTGTCCTGGTATACGAGCAGTCGTTTTTATCTCTAGGGGTCGGATTGGAATATAGGATAAAATCCTTTTCAAACAAGGGCGGGGCAAAGCTACGGCCTGATCATGCAGGATATCACTACTTCTACGAAGATACCTGATATGATTCAGGTTTTCGAAATCACATGCTAGTGTCAAAATTGTACAGAAGAAGTAAAATTGCATGCTGTAAACTCGTTCTATGAGCATGAAAAATAACGCTTTATTTTAGGTCCTTTCACCAAAACACGGTAATTCATGAATTGAGCTTTTAGCCGACTATTTAATTAACTCAAACAAGACGGCTGGCCTCAGGGCCAAGCCGTGAATGTTCCGAGTGCATTTCAAGGTCTATCGAGCAGTGCTCACCAAAAATAACAACAATTTTTTCAAAGAGAACAAAAAAAGATTGATTTTCCAACTTTCGAAGAAAACAGAATATTTATGCTTGTTGTGGTTTTTTATTCAGTCAATTTTGGCTGATCGAAATAATAGTTTACGGCAACAATTTTCTATACTGCCTGAGTTCAAATTTGAAAAGATATTTCAAGTATAGTTCTGGAGGTTTGGAAATTGCCAAATTGGCTAAATTCTGGACCAAATGATGCGCACTTTGAAGAATTTACTCATAATGTTGAGAGCCTAACGCGATTTATTAACGCGCAAAGATTTATCGTTCCAAGTCGATCCAAGTTGAATTGATGCAAGCTAATTGGTCGTATTGATTACGTGCGACTCAAAGTTTCACAATTTCATAATGTCCCAAATTTATCTATTTTAAAAAAAGT